CTCACACATGTACATGTACAATACAGACCCATATGTTTCCATACTTATTGAAATGATCACTTTGCAGATCCAACTCACATGTACACACAGACCCATATGTTTCCATAAATGATATTGAAATGATCGCATTGCAGATCCAACACACATGATCGCACAGACACAAACCCATATGTTTCCACACTTATTGAAATGATCACATTGCAGATCCAACTCACATGTACACACAGACCCATATGTTTCCATACTTATTCAAATGATCACATTGCAGATCCAACTCACATGTACACACAGACCCATATGTTTTCACACTTATTCAAATGATTGCTTTGCAGATCCAACTCAGATGTACACACAGACCCATATGTTTCCACACTTATTGAAATGATCACATTGCAGATCCAACTCACATGTACACATAGACCCATATGTTTCCACACTTATTGAAATGATCACATTGCAGATCCAACTCACATGTACACACAGACCCATATGTTTCCATACTTATTGAAATGATCGCATTGCAGATCCAACTCACATGTACACAGAGACCGATATGTTTCCACACTTATTGAAATCATCACTTTGCAGATCCAACTCACATGTACACACAGACCCATATGTTTCCACACTTACTGAAATGATCGCATTGCAGATCCAACTCACATGTACACACAGACCCATATGTTTCCACACTTATTCAAATGATCACTTTGCAGATCCAACTCACATGTACACACAAACCCATATGTTTCCATACTTATTGAAATGATCACATTGCAGATCCAACTCACATGTACACACAGACCCATATGTTTCCATACTTATTGAAATGATCCCATTGCAGATACAACTCACATGTCCACACAGACCCATATGTTTCCACACTTATTGAAATGATCGCATTGCAGATCCAACTCAGATGTACACACAGACCCATATGTTTCCACACTTATTGAAATGATCACATTGCAGATCCAACTCACATGTACACATAGACCCATATGTTTCCACACTTATTGAAATGATCACATTGCAGATCCAACTCACATGTACACACAGACCCATATGTTTCCATACTTATTCAAATGATCGCATTGCAGATCCAACTCACATGTACACACAGACCCATATGTTTCCATACTTATTGAAATGATCACTTTGCAGATCCAACTCACATGTACACACAGACCCATATGTTTCCATACTTATTGAAATGATCACATTGCAGATCCAACTCACATGTCCACACAGACCCATATGTTTCCACACTTATTCAAATGATCACTTTGCAGATCCAACTCATGTACACACATAGACCCATATGTTTCCATACTTATTGAAATGATCACATTGCAGATCCAACTCACATGTACACACAGACCCATATGTTTCCATACTTATTACAATGATCACATTGCAGATCCAACTCACATGTACACACAGACCCATATGTTTCCACACTTATTGAAATGATCGCATTGCAGATCCAACTCAGATGTACACACAGACCCATATGTTTCCACACTTATTGAAATGATCACATTGCAGATCCAACTCACATGTACACATAGACCCATATGTTTCCACACTTATTGAAATGATCACATTGCAGATCCAACTCACATGTACACACAGACCCATATGTTTCCATACTTATTGAAATGATCGCTTTGCAGATCCAACTCACATGTACACACAAACCCATATGTTTCCATACTTATTGAAATGATCACATTGCAGATCCAACTCACATGTACACACAGACCCATATGTTTCCATACTTATTGAAATGATCGCATTGCAGATCCAACTCACATGTACACACAGACCCATATGTTTCCACACTTATTGAAATGATCACTTTGCAGATCCAACTCACATGTACACACAGACCCATATGTTTCCACACTTATTGAAATGATCACATTGCAGATCCAACTCACATGTACACACAGACCCATATGTTTCCATACTTATTGAAATGATCGCATTGCAGATCCAACTCACATGAACACACAGACCCATATGTTTCCATACTTATTGAAATGATCACATTGCAGATCCAACTCACATGTACACATAGACCCATATGTTTCCACACTTATTGAAATGATCACATTGCAGATCCAACTCACATGTACACACAGACCCATATGTTTCCATACTTATTGAAATGATCGCATTGCAGATCCAACACACATGAACACACAGACCCATATGTTTCCATACTTATTGAAATGATCACATTGCAATTCCAACTCACATGTACACACAGACCCATATGTTTCCATACGTATTGAAATGATCGCATTGCAGATCCAACTCATAACCACACAGACCCATATGTTTCCATACTTATTGAAATGATCACATCTGCAGATCCAACTCACATGTACACACAGACCCATGTTTCCATGCCGGTATTGAATGATCGCATTGCAGATCCAACTCAGATGTCCACAGAGACCCATATGTTTCCACACTTATTGAAATGATCACTTTGCAGATCCAACTCACATGTACACACAGACCCATATGTTTCCATACTTATTCAAATGATCACATTGCAGATCCAACTCACATGTACACACAGACCCATATGTTTCCATACTTATTGAAATGATCGCATTGCAGATCCAACAGACATGAACACACAAACCCATATGTTTCCACACTTATTGAAATGATCACATTGCAGATCCAACTCACATGTACACACAGACCCATATGTTTCCATACTTATTCAAATGATCACATTGCAGATCCAACTCACATGTACACACAGACCCATATGTTTCCACACTTATTCAAATGATCACTTTGCAGATCCAACTCACATGTACACACAAACCCATATGTTTCCATACTTATTGAAATGATCACATTGCAGATCCAACTCACATGTACACACAGACCCATATGTTTCCACACTTATTGAAATGATCGCATTGCAGATCCAACTCACATGTACACATAGACCCATATGTTTCCACACTTATTGAAATGATCACATTGCAGATCCAACTCACATGTACACACAGACCCATATGTTTCCATACTTATTGAAATGATCACATTGCAGATCCAACTCACATGTACACACAGACCCATATGTTTCCATACTTATTCAAATGATCCCATTGCAGATCCAACTCACATGTACACACAGGCCCATATGTTTCCATACTTATTGAAATGATCACATTGCAGATCCAACTCACATGTACACACAGACCCATATGTTTCCATACTTATTGAAATGATCACATTGCAGATCCAACTCACATGTACACACAGACCCATATGTTTCCATACTTATTGAAATGATCGCATTGCAGATCCAACACACATGAACACACAGACCCATATGTTTCCATACTTATTGAAATGATCACATTGCAGATCCAACTCACATGTACACACAGACCCATATGTTTCCATACTTATTCAAATGATCACATTGCAGATCCAACTCACATGTACACACAGACCCATATGTTCAAATACTTATTGAAATGATCACATTGCAGATCCAACTCACATGTACACACAGACCCATATGTTTCCATACTTATTCAAATGATCCCATTGCAGATCCAACTCACATGTACACACAGACCCATATGTTTCCACACTTATTGAAATGATCACTTTGCAGATCCAACTCACATGTACACACAGACCCATATGTTTCCATACTTATTGAAATGATCGCATTGCAGATCCAACTCACATGTACACACAGACCCATATGTTTCCATACTTATTGAAATGATCGCATTGCAGATCCAACTCACATGTACACACAGACCCATATGTTTCCACACTTATTGAAATGATCACATTGCAGATCCAACTCACATGTCCACAGAGACCCATATGTTTCCATACTTATTGAAATGATCACATTGCAGATCCAACTCACATGTACACACAGACCCATATGTTTCCATACTTATTCAAATGATCCCATTGCAGATCCAACTCACATGTACACACAGACCCATATGTTTCCATACTTATTGAAATGATCCCATTGCAGATCCAACTCACATGTACACACAGACCCATATGTTTCCATACTTATTGAAATGATCACATTGCAGATCCATCTCACATGTACACACAGACCCATATGTTTCCATACTTATTGAAATGATCACATTGCAGATCCAACTCACATGTACACACAGACCCATATGTTTCCATACTTATTGAAATGATCACATTGCAGATCCAACTCACATGTACACACAGACCCATATGTTTCCATACTTATTCAAATGATCACATTGCAGATCCAACTCACATGTACACACAGACCCATATGTTTCCATACTTATTCAAATGATCACATTGCAGATCCAACTCACATGTACACACAGACCCATATGTTTCCATACTTATTGAAATGATCCCATTGCAGATCCAACTCACATGTAAACACAGACCGATATGTTTCCACACTTATTGAAATGATCACTTTGCAGATCCAACTCACATGTACACACAGACCCATATGTTTCCATACTTATTGAAATGATCACATTGCAGATCCAACTCACATGTACACACAGACCCATATGTTTCCACACTTATTGAAATGATCACATTGCAGATCCAACTCACATGTCCACACAGACCCATATGTTTCCATACTTATTGAAGTGATCACATTGCAGATCCAACTCACATGTACACACAGACCCATATGTTTCCATACTTATTCAAATGATCCCATTGCAGATCCAACTCACATGTACACACAGACCCATATGTTTCCATACTTATTCAAATGATCACATTGCAGATCCAACTCACATGTACACACAGACCCATATGTTTCCATACTTATTGAAATGATCACATTGCAGATCCAACTCATATGTACACACAAACCCATATGTTTCCATACTTAGGCATTCGTGTAATTGTCCGTCTCATGGTTACTTCAAGTTAATACCATGACAATGAGGTTGTAAATGATATGTTCCACTTACCACTGGATTTATGATTGATTTCACTCGAATACGTCATCTTGAACCCATCATCAACACCAGATGAATCTGACTTGAATTTCAGGAACATAACAGGACCAGAACTGTCTTCGATATATGTATTCTTTCCACACAGGCGACCAAGTGATTGGGCATTAGAGTCCGGCCCTATAAAATAATGAATATATGAATCATTCTTTTCTTCAAGCTAATGCAACCCGTGAAGATCCGGGTTAAAATTGATCTTCAGTAACCCATGCTTGTCCCAAGAGGTGACTAACGGGATCAGGTAACATGCATTCCAATGTACTGTGTAGTATATTAATATATCAAATGATGTCTGGACATATGTGGTTTTACACAGCATCATTCACCTAGTCAACTCCGCATCTTTCCAAAGACCAATGACCCGTGATCTTCAATAACCCATGCTTGTCGTAAGAGGCGACTAACGGGATCGGATGGTCAGGCTCGCTGACTTGGCTGACATATGTCATTGTATTCCCACTTATAAAGAAGGTTTGGAATAGTTTCATTGATTGCACCTTTTTTATTTGATAAATCTTTATATGGAACATCGCATCACATTCTGTTCGGATGTGTTTATATCAACCCGGTTAACTCCTCAGTCAAAAAGTGATCCAAGACCGCTAAAAGGAATTGACTATTTAGAGCAATGTTTGTTGTCATGTATATCAGATATAGACGTTTCAGATATTCGTTTCATTTTGATGGGGGATTTTAATTCAAGGACGGGAGACCTTAGAGATTTCATCATTCACGATGACAACCAACCTATACCTTGTTTGGAAGATATGGAATATAATGCTGACAATTTTCACCATCCCAGGAATAATGTCGACAATATTATAAATTCGTATGGACGAGATCAGATAGATTTGTGTTGCGCTCACAACATACACATGATGAATGGGCGAAGTAGATCTGACCCTCGGGATGACATGACTTGTTTTTCTCACAATGGCTCCAGTATGGTGGACTACTGCTTATGTTCAACTGATATATTTGACATGGATCATGACTTCATTGTAGAAACTCGTTGTGAATCTGACCACCTACCCATCGTACTTACCTTGTGCATACCACCTACTCCCCACAGATGTGATGGGGACAGTGACAGTGTGCAACGTTTGTTAAGATATAGGTGGACAGGAGAACAGAAACCATTCTTTGTTGAACACTTAAATGCATAAATACAGCCCTGGCATTATATGGACTTGAGAACTTTACAAATGACGTCGTTCTCGTCACGATATGGCTGAAGTATTGCCGATGTGACGTTAAATTTTAACTCACTCACTCACTCACTCACTCACAAATGACGTCATTGAGGATATCAATGACGCGGCACATAAGTTAACAGCATGTATAACATCGTGCGCAGATAGATGTAACATGCGATGTTTTGGAAACCCTTCACCAAACAAGCCCTACGACACCAGCTGGTATGACGAAGAATGTAGAAACATGAAGCAGCTGAAATATACTAACTTAGATTGTTTAGATCAACTGGGGAGCTACATTTTTGGTCAGAATTTCGAAGTCTACGAAACTCATATCGACAGCTATGTCGCACCAAAAAGGAAAATTATGAGGAAAATATGGTGAACCTGCTATCGTCTAATTCTAAGAACTCAAAGTTGTTTTGGAGCCAAGTTAAACGCCTAACAACGGATAAATCAACTGATATCAACTCTATATCGGCAACACAGTGTGTCGATTACTTCGAAAAAAAAGTAATGAATATAAGTCAAGAGAATACGGATGAAGACCATGTGAGAGGAGCCAGTAAATTTCTTGAAAATCTGGATGAACATAATTGATGTGCCTGCAATAATGATACCATAAATAATACTCTGAACTGTGAAATCAAGCATAATGAAATTATTGATGCCATTGACAATCTGAAGGACGGTAAAGCTCCTGGTCCTGATGCAGTAACTCCAGAAATGATCAAATGTTGTAAAACTGAACTATTGCCATTTTTTTTATGCATTGTTTAATAATATTTTGAACAGTGGCAATTTTCCTATAGAATGGGCTAAAGGACTGGTTTTACCGCTTCACAAGAAAGGCAAGAAGACAGAGGTTAATAATTATAGAGGGATGACGCTTAGTCATGTCATGGTGAAATTATTTACGTTTATATTAAACAAGAGGTTGACAAGTTTTTGTCATCAGTATGACAAGATTCCAGAGTCTCTGGCTGGATTCTGTGCTGGATATAGCCCTGTTGATAATATTTTCAGTTTACAGTGTCTGGTCCAAAAGTATCTCTCGAAAACTAATGGTCGTTTTTATTGTTTATTCGTTGATTTCAGAGAGGCACTTGATTCCATTAATCGTAAATTAGTGTGGATCTCAGTTTTAGTAAAGGTATTCATGGTAGAATATTTACAGTATTATTGGACATGTACTCCAAAGTTAAATCTGCTGTTAAACTGTCAAATAGTTCCATTTCCTATTATTGTGATACTATAAGTGGCGTAGAACAGGGGTGTATTTTAAGTCTTTTGCTGTTCTCTCTTTTTGTTGTTGATTGGAAATATGTTACAGGAATCGAATGTCCGAGGTACATTTGTTGGTCAAGAATTTCGTGATATTTTATCTTTATTTTATGCTGATGATCTGTGTTTGTTTGATGATAGTGTGATTGGTCTAAAGAGAAAAATAGATGTATTGGAGCAGTTTAGTATCAAATGGGGTTTGGATGTCAATTTAGATAAGACTGAAATTTTAGTTTTTAGAAATGGTGGCAAGTTACGGTTTTCTGAAAAATGTATGTTTGGCAATAAAACTATTAAGACATCGACCTATTATAATTATCTTGGGTTAACGTTTTCTAACATGTTATGTTGGTCAAAGGGTCTTGAAGATCTTGTTCAAAAAGCATTAAAAGCCCTAGTATCCGTTAAACAATTAGAGTGTAAGTTTCAGAATATTTCTTCTTTAGTTTTATTCAAGATATTTGATGCTCAGATTAAGCCAATCTTACTCTATTCTAGTGAAGTGTGGGGTCATTCAAAGTTTGAATGCATCGAGCGTTTTTCATGTTAGTTTGTAAATATGTTATTGGTGTAGGTAGTTATGTGTCTAATGTTGCTGCACTTGGTGAATGTGGTAGATATGGCTAATTTGTTGATTGCCATAAAAAGATGTATTCAGTATTGGTTAAAGTTGCTATCAATGCCTAATCATAGATATCCTAAGCAAAGCTATCTCCTGTGTAAATCTTTCGACGACTGCAATCGTGTTACATAGGCTTCAAAGGTTAAAATATTACTGTTCTCTCATGGTTTTGGATTTGTTTGGATCTCTCAGGAAGTTGGTAATTGTTCTTTATTTCTTAGTAAGTTTGTGCAAAGGGTTAAAGATTGCCACCAACAAGATTGGTTTTCTAAAGTTTGTGAATCAAATAAGTTATGTTCTATCAAGAATATAAATCTCTGTTGAATATTATTTATCCACTCTAAAGGATCGCGAATTTATAAGGCTTTTATTTTTGCTAAGATCTGGGGAATTGCCTTTAATGATTAACGTTGGTAGACGTTGTGGTATTCTTCGCGATGAACGATTTTGTAATTTATGTATGAATGGATATATAGAAGATGAATACCATTTTCTGTTAATATGTAAAGTTTATTCCATTTTAAGACAAAAGTATATTCCTGAAAATGTCTGGAAACATTCCTCTATTTATAAATTTAACATGTTATTAAGTTGTGACAAAGTGAATGTCCTAATTAACTTAGCAAAATGTGTAAAAGAAGCTTTAAGGTTAAAAAGTGCTTAAAAGGTGTATCTTACCATTTTGTCACTTGCATTATTGTTTTGTGAGTTTTTGTACTTGGGCCTATGGCCTTTATAATAAGTTTGAATTTGAATGCGCAGATCGATGCTCATGCTGTTGATCACTGGATTCTCTGGTTCAGACTCGATTATTTACAGACCGCCACCATATAGCTGGAATATTGATGAGTGTGGCGTAAAGCTAAACTCACTCACTCTAGGAAATGGAAGAAGACGTTCTTCACGTCATCCATTCGTTGCATTAGAGTCATTTAGATCATAACCTCGAGACTGGACAACAGTGGAACTTGGTACCTTCTTCTGGTATGAATACACACAACCGCCTACTTTCGCCTACTCTTTGCAAAACGACGAATATAGTGAACCCATTTTCGAATTCTCCGATGCACCTCCGCAATTTGATGTGAGTGGGGTATAAAAAAAATTCAACTTCAAGAATGTGCTTCAAGATATAGAATTAGTTATCCGTCTGACTATTGAAACATTACCAAACGCCTACTGAGGGTCGTCCCCTTACCATCAAACGCCTCCACATAGTCACGAATGCAGCCATTTGACCTTTCCAGTCTTGAGAGTTTTAACGCTTGATCTCAACGTTGCTGAAGTCTCTAATACTACGGTAATCTTCCAGCTGACCCTCGGCATTACTGGAATATAGAATATACACATATAGTGCTATTATACTGCATCTGTGGAAACAATGAAGGTAGACCTCGGCATTACTGGGAATATACAACATACATATAGTGTTATTATGTCATCTGTGGAAACAATGAGGAAGGTAGACCTCGGCATTACTGGAATATACAACATACATATAGTATTATTATGTCATCTGTGGAAACAATGACAGAACCTCGGCATTACTGGAATATACAACATACAAATAGTGTTATTATGTCATCTGTGGAAACAATGAAGGTGACCCTGCGGCATTATGGAATATAGAATATACATATAGTGTTATTATACATCTGTAGAAACAATGAAGATAGACCTCGGAAAATTACTGGAATCCATATACAACATTCATATATAGTGTTATTAATAAAATCTGTGGAAACAATGAAGATATGGAGCCTCACGCATTACTGGAATATACAACATACATATATTATTATTATTGTCATCTGTGGAAACAATTAGGGTGCAAATCAATCTTTAACAAATTGTAAGAAGCACTGATCTTTCTTCAAGACCATAAAGCATTTCTAGAAATTCTCCGCTTGTATTTCTTCACTTTTTCAGGCATGGAATGAATGGACGAGAGAATGAATCGTATGTTACTTTATGCCGCGTCAACAATACTCCAGCTATTCGCAACGAGAACTAGTAACTATAGATTCAAGCAAAGCAATGCACATAAAATCACACGATTACTTCAAACGCGGATGAGCATCCATGATCAGACAATTTCAAAATATCAGTGCATCATCACGGATATAAGCAAAATCTATATCTCCTAAGAAGTCTAATTTCTTTTTTAAAAGATATAAATCTGTATGGCTGAAATTGTGTAAAAAGTTGTTTTGGTCAGAAACATTAACGTATGTTTGATGTATCAATGCCAGTAACCACATAATCTGAATACTGTATTATAATTCTGACTTCAACAAGGAATACGACACAGGAACATCACCGCCCTTTAAGACGAAAGAGCAGTAAAATGTGGATGTCCCATGCTTTATCAGTGGTATGTTAAACAAGTTTCACAAGTTGGCAAACAGGCGGCTCATAGAAGCAATCGTCTCCCTTGCGGTAACAAAGGGCGATCATGAGACGTTTGTGTTATTGTCTTTGAATACCACTTCAATTCGGCAGCAAGAAGAGATAACTTGTAGTGGCAAAATCTGGTCTGAATTGATACTACGTGTATATTCTCGTGATGAGCGAATCAACGTGTTAAAACAACATCATCTCTTTGTTGATGTTCAATTTGACTGCCACCATTGATTAACATGCTGACTTATAACTGGGTTTGCAATCGGTAGAGAGAATATGGGTACGTATTACTGTTTCTGCAGAGTGAAGCTTTGCTGCATCAACTGCCTCTATTGTTTCCTGGTAGCGCTGAGAACAATTTTAGGATTTAATGTCACATTTACGTCACAATGGCAGTTTTACATTTTGGCATTCATCAAAGTAAAGTCTAATTAGTGATTATTGAAAGAACACTGACCAAATTTTAGTTTCTTTCGACACGTGTTGGCGTGACATATAATGGGTATGAATAAATCGACCTTGGGTCATGATCTCATGAATCACTCACCTTGGGTAACTTAATGGGTAATTTGAGAATATATGCTGCCGTAGGAATCACAGAAGCTCCTTTGTCCTAGAAGCTGAGACGATGTGTGCTAACTGTCATGGTATCACATAGTCATGCACTTTGTAACATCAATAAACTGATTATTCGAGTGGAGTGCTTGAGTTAGTTGATGCTAATCTGATAGATGTTTCACAGATGATCGTAACTCGTAGAATTTGCACAAAAGGTTATATCAACTGAAATTTTGGAATGCGTTTCTTAAATGTTAACAAATGCAAAACTATAATCTCCAAGAAACGAGCTGCCATTCTTTTCAGTCAATTAATCACAATTTGTTTTGGGTGAAAAGGCAGGCAGGGCGTGGAGTACGTTCTTCCCAAATTCATATTGTGATAAATGGAGATTATTAACCGGAATTAATGTTTCATATCATTAATATATCATATATTGGGATAAAAATGTTCCATGCGACATCATGTTTTCTCTATTGCCTTCAATATATCTACACAGAGGAATGGCAAGATGCGTATTACCGTCATGTTATATGAGTGAGTGAGTGCTGAGTATCTATCTGTAAAAGTGGAACAGTACAAAACAGGGCTGGTTATCAGCCAGCAATAACTGAAGGTGATCACCATACTACCTACATGGGGACTTTATTTTTGCTACCCTGCATGAATCCTACCTGGATTTACATAGTGTTGGGAATTGGATAAAATCTCATAATTGATGATTTGTTCCATTACAACGAAATGATCAATCATCGAAATGATATTTGAAGTCATTTCTATCAAATTTTTCTCGTTATGTTTGTTACTGCACAAAAACAAAGAAAAAACATGTAGATCATTATGAGTCTTTTACCAAATTCCACAAAATGCATGTGCAAATTTAACATCTTTAAAGGATGACTAGTATGTTAGGAACATAAATTTCTGGAGTCTTTTGGATCAAATTCAATCCTGACTCAGAACGAGCTTGTAATGTTTATGAAATGCAACAAACAAGGCCAACCTTGTGCATGAAAATATTGTTAATGCAAATCAAGTGTTCCAGAATTGTTTGTGTTCGATTATGAGAAAACATGATCGATTGGCAGTCGTTTAGTTAATGCGACCAATTTTCGATTTTTCAAGTACTTCGGATTACCCTAGATTTACTGCCATCGCTTTAGATGTTGGCGATTATTTGAAAATTCATTGAACATTAAGATAATACATATTCTATATTTAAACACAAAGTATATACAACAATACTTTAATTGAAATGGAACTCCGCGCAGGGGACAATATTTTCTATGATACTTCAACGCCCGTCGAAGGCACAGCCACAATCAAATGTCTGTTAATAATTATCTTCTACCAAGTTATAAAAGCCATCACTTGTGCATCATAATTCACGGAATGAGATGTGTTTCTTTTAAAACTTGACCTTTAAGATTAAATGAACGTGATTGATTAGAAAACGTCCTTTTCTGTGTGTTCGGACACTCAAAACTTCAAGACTTGCGGTGGAAAAATTCATGGTATAGCGTAATAATTTCGTGGAGTGAGTGAGTTTAGTTTTACGCCGCCTTAGCACATTCCAGTAATATCACGAAGGGGACGCCAGAAAGTCGGCTTCACACATTGTGCAATTCCATGTGGGGAATCCAAACCTGGTTCATTTCTGCGACGAGTTTAAACGTATCCAATTATAAAGTTCCAACGTTCTGGCCACAGGTGTGTATATCCAAGACTGTTATCCCAAAAGAAATCTGCCACCCAGATGCTTCTACATTACTGTCATGTGTTGAAAATCCAATTGCTTCTAACATTACCGTCACAAGGTTAATATAGGAACTTCAATTGTTGCAATAATACTGTTACAGGTTGGACCAACTCATACCGTTCGCCTTGCGTTTAGCTCTGTTTACCATTACGCTGCCCGCAGTTAGTTCACCGTTACGTGCTGCACCCTCCGTTGCTAACTTTACCACTGTTGCGTCATATTCTCAGATATGGGTCAGTAATCTGCCCCAGTGTTAGACTATCGGCGGCAACGGCGCATGCATATTCCCGCGATTCCGAAGCCGGTCGAGTAATAGCTTCGCCGATACTCTGACCTTCCAAGCAAAAGACAACGTCACCCATCTTCTGCGGAATAAATATTGCTCGGTCGAGTTTGAAAGCATTTCACATCAGGGATTCGCAAGCACAACTAGACCATTAGGTAACTCATCCGAGGAATCAAGTGGATCCGGTCGGTAGGTTGTGACATTTACAAATAACCAAATATGAAATGACAATTTTGCCTTTGAATTTCGCTGTATTGTGTTACGCCGCGCCTGCCAACACCTTTCCACCCAATAATTATCGAATAGAGCGACACGCCACCCCTAACGTAAATAATACTACATACAATACGATCAGATAATAACAGTGCGTTATACAAGAATATTCACTGACCTGGCTATTTCTCTCTATCTAACGTCCTATGTAACCAACATTTCAAATTAATAATCTATACCTCCCATAACTGAAACTTAGAACCGCAATAATCTCCAATTGCTACGATTACATACGTACGTCAACGACGTAATTACAACATTTTCAAGCGTCACCCAATACCCCGGAATCGAAATGTAAATAATTTTCAGCCGGTCACTCAGCCCTTAAGCAGTAGACCCAAGGTACATTTAAAATTGTTGAAATTATTGTCAAGTCCGGACGGTTGCCTTGACTCTAATAATTATTGCAAGACTCCATCCGAAGAATAACCGTAAATTCCTTCACCCTCAATGAACATTAGTTGCGTATATACTACATTAATATATATCATATAACTCCTACTATAAGGATATTATGACCTATATTCTACGTAGATCTCACGTAGACAAGGCTACTAACCCTACGTAAGAGATATTGGTACCACGTGAGGGAGATAGTATGTCCCACGTAGGGATCCCACGCAGGACTTAATAAGTCCCAATAGAGATATTATACGTGGGATCTAGAATGCAATGTATTATTATGAATGAGAGACCAAAAATGTTTTCACCTATAGGGGTCCCACTAATGCTCTGCAGTTTCCCACAAAATTATTGGAATTAGATTATTCAAGGCACCTGCATTGCCATAAATATACTCGTATAGAGGCGCAGATAGTGGAGACAAGCTGTAAACCATTACTTCACTTCCCAATGATTGTTTTAGGGGTGAGGTGATGGGACATCGGGTTTTTCGTCATAATTTTAAATATTCGCTCATAAGGGATTAGACGTGCAT